CGAAAATGTTAAATAAATATTTTGAAAAATTATGGCAAAAATCCTTTAAGCTAATCTGTGGAGTTGACAACTGAGATAAAATTTTTTCCTATAAATGGTCATTGAATTTTTTAGTGACGAGGTGAGGGTAGAATGCATAGTGATACACAAAATAAGTACAAAAAAGACTTAAGGAGTATAACCTAAGACTTAAATAACTTAAAGCAGACATCATCTTTAGTTTTTTCCATTCAAATCAACAGATAGCACAGCTATTATATTAGAAAAGCTTTTCTGGACTACAGGTGTTTGCTTGTGCTTTATTTATGACTTACTGAGCATTCAAAAATAACTATTTTCCTAACAGCATCTTACTTTTATTTTCACTTTGTATATTTTCTAACCTTGTAATCATGGAAGTTCCTTATCAGGGTCTTCATAATAAACACAAAAACAAACAATTGGAGCTCATTTATTCAGCATCTTAGAAGAAATACGCTTTGCATATAATGGAGTTTTCTAAATAACTTAAATCTTCCTGCTTCAAATTCCAAGACCTTTTTAAAACCGTTATTCTGAGATCCTTTTTAAATGTTTTAAACATATTTCTTAAACTAAGAGTTTAAATTTTTTTGCTGAAATAAGAGCAATAATTTTCCTGTAATGTAAAAACAATTACTTTTGTCAGCTTTTAAATTTTATTTTATTATATCCTTAAACACCAAACTGCAAAATGACCTTTGTCACTGGTATGGTCGTTGTACTGGCTCAGGTAACCCTGCTCTCCCCTCTGCCTTTAGTCTCCTGGGTAGTGCTTATTATTGGCTCTGAACCCCACTCACCAAACTTGCTTGGAGTTACACGCTAGATTAGATTTTATTAAGCCTTCAAGTAAGGGTGTGAGAAGTAAAATCCTTTGCTTTTCAGGAGAATTTGTTGTGGTTATCAGGAACTTGGTTTTCTCATTTGGAATGTGGGGATAATGAAATCTATTCCAGTGGATGGAAAGGCACATGAAATGCATCTGTAGGGTGTTGCTGCAAGGTGCCACTGTGAGGTGCCTCCGTGGGCATGACTACTGCAGGTCCCACTGCTGCTGGCGTTCTGAGCCACCTGTGCTTCCCCTTAGGTGGTGTAGACAGGGCAAATTTCTTCTCCTTTGAAGACGAGTTGCCAGAGTAATTCTTGTAGACCCTTAGATATACTTATCTATCTAATTGGTTTATAGTTAGATTGACTAAAGGGACTAGGAAGAAATGAAATTTTTAAGTACAGAGTAGTACTTCAAGCCTCAAAAAATGTTCATCTCTTTTGACTTAGTAATCCCGCTTCTAGAACTTAACCCTAAAGACATAATCAGACATAAGAACACAGATTTGTGCATAAACATGTTTTTCATCTCATCTTCATTCCTTTTTTTTTTTTTTTTTTTTTTTTTTTTTTTTTTTTTTTTTTTTTTTTTTTTTTTTTTTTTTTTTTTTTTTTTTTTTTTTTTTTTTTTTTTTTTTTTTTTTTTTTTTTTTTTTTTTTTTTTTTTTTTTTTTTTTTTTTTTTTTTTTTTTTTTTTTGGTGGCTGGCCCGTATGGGGAACTGAACTCTTGACCTTGGTGTTACAAGGCTGCACTCTAATCAGCTGAGCTAACCAGCCAGCCCCCTTCATTCCTGGGTTTTTTGTTTGTTTGTTTGTTTTTTATGTCACTCAGCACAAGAAGCCTTTGGCTTTGTCCTAGAAAACAGATTGCACCAAGATTGGCAGACATTGGGTTGAGTGTAACTGTCATAGGATGCCTTTCTTTGTGAGCAGATTTCAAAGATTCATTGCATACCTAAATCTTTGATAGATGTCAGCAGTGTAATGGTAGTGTACTCAAATGGGTCAAAATTGCTACAAACGTTAGCAGATAGCAATGCTGGATATTATTGTTTAGACTCCCAGCATTTTAGGTCTTATAGAGCCAAACTCATCCTTGATTCTGACTATGTATATTCCATGTTGTTCTGTATATGAACAAAATGCTTGTTATCCTGAGTTCTCTGAGAGTAGGTATCAAGACAGAAAGAACTAGCTATCTAAGAGATTTATTGTAGGAAAAGCCTGTGAAGGATAAAGGGGAGAGAGAGCAGGAGGAAGCAAATAAAAAATATAAACCAGGGTAGTCTTGTATAATTTCCTGCAATCTGGATTTTGTTGATTAAATCCCAGTAGTGTTATTTAACATGTTCCTCTATCCCCTAAGTATCAGATGTAGAGGCTTAATGACATTAGAATTCCCTTCCTCCCTCCCTCCCTCCCTCCCTCCCTCCCTTCCTCCTTCTTAGATGTTGGTGTGTGCTTCCATCAGGAGGCAGATACCATCTGGTTGTCTCTTTTTTGTGTGTGTAATGTCAGCAGCTGTTGATGATCATTATGCTAAATCTATTCATTAGGAATTGCAAAATGCTGTCTTCACTTACTATCTAGTATTCTTTTATGCAGAAAAACCTCCCCTCATTAGCTATTTGGTTGCTTTGGGATTCATTGCAAATAGGAAAGGTAGGATGAATGCTAGATTCTTTTCTTTTGTTTATCATTTTTCAAATTGATAAGGTGATTCTTTAGCATTCTCCAAAGGTGGCCAATCAGAGTTTTTGTGTTTGTTTAGTATTTTTATAAACTTGTGAATTTAAGCCATTGCAGTTGTTATCTTTATTTGATACTCAAATTGTTCTATCTTTGGCCAGTGGGAATTTATGTAGGTAGGCTCCTGAGTCTTTTTGACACAATCCTAGTAGTCTCTGACATTCTCCTTGCTTTACGGTATGACTTAATATCCCAGGTTCATCTTGCACATTTCCTGCCTTAGATCTGGAATAGGTCACAAGCCATTGTTCATTGTAGTGGAAACTGATTTTTTAGATATTCTAATTGCTACTGGATAGGTTATTTTTTCTGGGCCTTTTCATTGGACAGGACTTAGAAATATGTTTTTTTAAGGATAAAATATATCCAGAGATCATATCAATAATTCTAATTCATATTTAGGACTACAGGGTTTTTACGTAATCTCACTGTTCTTACATCTGAATTTTCTTATCCCCATGCCAAAAATCTTGCTCTTCAGTGATACCAGCCTGATTACTTACTCACTTGCTTCATCCCACACTACATACATAAATAACAGCCCTGAGGCTCTTACAATACTAGTACTAGCACCAACTAAATGATTATTGAAAAAAAAGTTTGCAATTGTTTCTGTCTTTAGGGTATATACCATTAGAAATGAACTATCAAATTATTGGGTTTTAAAATCACTTGGAATAGTTCTTCTCAACCACTTGTAAACTTATCTAAGTATCATTTGTATCATTTTCCTAGTCTTATCCCTGGTGCCATTCTTATTCTCTTTTATGCTGATATTCTAGCATTTTTCCTCCTTATGTTTATCTCTGTAGTCTGTTTTACTTTTTTTTTATAATGAGGAGTATAAAGATAACTAAGTAGTACTAAGATAGAATTTGAAGTACAAAAATAAATGTAGATTTAAAAGTGTGTATACACATATATTTCCTTACTGTGTCAGCTAAGTGTTCCTAGAAGCAACGACATCCCAGTAGCAATTAGCACACCTAGAGCCCAGATCTTAGTTTCTTTTTTTTGTGTGTGTGACCTGTAAGGGGATTGCAACCGGCCATCCCTGTATAGGATCCAAACCCGCGGCGGGAGCACCGCTGCGCTCCCAGCGCCGCACTCTCCCGAGTGCGCCACAGGGTGGGCCCCCAGATCTTTGTTTCTGATACCATCCTCCAATAAGAGCAACCAAGGGTCATTGGAGAAATGGCTGATTCTAAGGTTGGGTTGGGGAAAGACAAGATGAGCCTGGAGCATCTTGTAGTATCAGAAAGTAAGGAAGTGCTCAAACACACACACACACACACACACACACACACACACACACACACAAAATGATGGGGGCATGTTAAAGGGGCACAGGAGCTAACTGAAAGAGCTCCCAATGACCAAAGCTGGAACAATTTGAACAACAAAATAATGTAATGTTAGATTATAACCTAAGGTATAATACAAATATCTGTGAGTTCATGCTGATACAAATAAGTGATTGAATAAATGAATAAATGGGGAGACAAAACAAATCTCTAGTGCAGAAAAATTCTAAATAATTTATGTAGATACTCCACCCTCAAGGAGGTGAAACATAACTTCTTATTCCTTAAGTGTGGTCTACACAATAACTTCCTTCTAAAGAGTACAGTATGGAAAAAGGCAGGGGGTGGGGGGTGAGAGTAACTTTATAATGGAGAAATCTGACAAACATTTCCTCAGCGAGGTGATCAGATCAGCATCAGCATCAGTGACAAATCATGTTGATAGCATGCACCCTTGATGTAATGTTAATCTACAATATTTTCTCTACTGGTATTACCATGTTGGATTCAAAATAGTCTGTTTTTTATGAAAGCTTTTATTTACTGGTGAAAACCTGTTCTCGGCTTTGTTTCAGCCAATGAATAAGATAAGGAGTATAGTTCCTACTTTTTAGTAACTTACAATCCAGTGAGGGAAAGAAGATCTAGCAAGCATGAAATCCAGGTATAAATCATAGTAGGTGACTGTATGGGATTTTTAAGTTGAGAAAAGCATAGATATACTGAGGCCTGGTGGAGCTGGGGAAAGTTTTCAGGAAAACATACTCTTCTGTTTATACTTTCAGGATTTTTGACAGAGAGGCAACAATAAAGGTTGATTTAGGGGCTTAAAAAATTATCTAAATATGATTATCAACAGAAAACAAGGTATACATTTAAAAAATTACATTTTGTATCTGTCAACCAACCTGGAATCCCTTATGATAATAAAATTGGTGGTTGAATTAATCACGGTGTGGTCAGAATTTATTAGAAAGAGAGCAAAATCAGTAGATTGTGTATGATACCCTGCATTCATTTCATTTTTAGGCCTGGTTATAGCTTGAATGTCTAGCATTTAAATGTTAATATGTTCCTCTCTTTTGTTTTCTCTTTAGGATTATCTGCTGCCAAACTCTTGGCAGAACATGAAACTGATGTTTTAGTTTTAGAAGCCCGGGACAGAGTTGGAGGAAGAACGCACACTGTGAGGGTAAGTGATTTTAATACTTACAGATAATATCTTACTCAAACTACAAGTGGGGCTATTGAAGTCACAGGGCTAGAGGAGATCTCAAGACTTCATGCAGTTAAGCCATTCGTCCTCCATAGCCTAAACTACTCCATCAAATAACTGTTTATTCTGTTCAGCAAACACTCACCAAAAAGTGACAGCCTCTGACCTTCAGTCACTCACATTCTAGTGAAGACAGCAAATGAGAATAAATAACTTCAGTACAGTGTCCTAATTTCCACACTAGAGACCTAAATCAAGCGTGTGGTGTCTCAGGTGGAGTTATAGTTTGGCAGGACTGGAAGTGACTATACACCCACAAAACGCACCCACACTCCTCCCCTGCACACACACTTCTTGTTTATTTATCCAATATTTCTTGTTTATTTATACAGTGATACACAGCTTAATAGAAGTGTGGTGGCTACAGTAAATAGAAGCAAATATAGCATATTTTTGTGAAAATTTACCTGGGCCCTTTGTCCCTAAGAGGTGTGCTGCTACCAGACACACTCTTTGCTCCACTTGGGTCTGGCTAGGTATGAGAAGGAAGCTCAGTTCTTGCTCCATCACTGCCTTTTTATACATGGGCTTCCATCACCATTCTGGAAAAATGCATGCTAACTATTGTTTACTACTATTCAAGGAGTGGTTGTAGGTGGTTGAATATGTGGGAGCAGATGAAAGTACACACAGGGTGAGGATGTACAGTAGGAAGGAAATAGGGCCGAAGGTGGAAGTATGAGCAGCATGCAGATGGGGGCGGGCGCAGAGTCAGAGGATCCAGAGAGAAGCAGTAGAGGCTGAGGAGGAGGACCAGACTAGAGTAAGTTAGTGGAGGAGACAGGAAGGGATGCTCAACAGAGTCAAATGACTCAGGATGAAGGCAGAAAAGAGGCCCTTGTGTTTGGCAGTTAGGTCATTAGTGAGACCCTTTGTTAGAGCACACAAATAGAGTGGTAAGAACTGGGGATTGGCAGTAAGAACAAAACCAGACTATTGAAGTGACTGGAAAGAGAGGAAGCATCTATCTAACTAGAAGATGTTTCAGTTAGACAAATAACAGAATGGCTTAGGCAGTGATACTAACAATGGTTTAAGTAATGCAAACGTTTAATTATTTCACATTGGAAGAAGTCTGGTAATAGGTAGTCCAGGCTGGTACAGGGGTTCAACTCTGTCATCAAAGCTTCAGCCTCTTGCTATCTTTCTGCTCTGCCATTCTCTGCATGTCGGCTTATTGCCTTGTGGTAACAAGATACATCCTGCAAGTCAAGTTCTCACTCAAGGCAGGAAGGAGAGTAAAGGGGTGGCACCAGTCTGGTCTGCAGCAAAGCTTTTCCTTTGCCAGAAGACCCCGGCAGACATTTGCTTTAGTCTTATTGGTCAGAGTTGGGTCACATGGCTACCCTCAGTTGCTAGAGTGCCTGGGAAAGCAAGTATTTAATATTTCCAGGCTGCATAATAAAAGCAGGCATGGGAGAGGGAATATGAATGAATATTTGCATAGCCAACAGACAACATCTAAACTAGGATATTGTACCAGATCTTTCAGTCATACCATGCCACGCCACCCTCTGTCATTTGCTTCCTGCCTTTTTAGATATACAGGATTGTATCATATGCCTGTTTTACTTTGCTCAGCTCTAAGTGTGCTCTACAACCTTGCTACTCAAAGTGTGGTCTGTTGGACCAGCAGCCTTGGAATCACCCAAGAGCTTGATAGAAATGCAGTAGTCTGCTGGGTGGCTATTGGTCTGGTACTGAGGAGACTAAGATTCTAGCCTCTCTACTGGCCTGACACACTGTCTTGGGTAAGTCCTGTACTTCTCAGTTTTCTCATCTGAGCAATAAGATACAATCTAAATGTACTCGAAAAAGCTCCCTTCCATCTTCAAATTCTAATTGAAGGCAGTGTGTTGTAGTGCAAAAAGAAGGCTTGCGTATTCTCTCTGTATGCCCTCATTAGATATGATTCTTCTGTCATTTTCTGAAAAATATTCCTTCATTTTGGAGATGGTTATTAAGTTGTCCCTTAGCCTTACTTTTCTTATCTCTAAGATCTTTTGGTTATTAAATAGGAGCATCAGTCATGTTGCAGATTTTCAGTTAAGAACATGTTTCTTTGTATAAAGGAAATGAGAATTCCAGCATGCTTGTCCCCTTCCATGTTATTGGCCCAGGCTGCTTTGCTGTGCTGCATCATTTATATATGTCAACACCATGCAGGAACTCCTGTGCTCAGCATGATATTATACTCCCATTTAGGTGTGTGAGAAAGGAATCTCTGAAATGCTTCAAAATTAGGACTTAGCATTGATGTTTCTAACTACTAGAATGAGAAAAAGAGAGCTTTAAGAAGCAGGACAAAAAGGGTATTTAATAAGAAACTGAATCAAATACTGTTAGAATTGGTTCTAAACATAATCAGGATAATTTGGGGAAGAAATGCTGTAAAAACTACTCTGGATGTTTAAGTAACAAAATGTCAAATTTGGTATTGTCATCTGGAAGCTGTTCAGATGGATCTTCCATTAGTTTAGAACTTCCCAGTTTTTCCTAATGTGATTCATCTGTAATTTTTCAGAATCAAATTAATAAAGTTGAAATGCCTGCAGGGCCACTACAGGGGTGGTATATTTGTTTCCTAATATAGTTTTAGGTTTGTGGCCTCTTCAAGGGCTGAATCATGAGATCTAAATCCAAGATCCTAAAGACTGAGGTGCAGCATAGTGGAATACTGTATTACACTTCTAGCGTCTTCATGCTGAACCTCATTCAGAATGTTTCCACTTTGTAAAGAATGTGCAAAGGAGAAACATTCTGTTTTATGCCTCACTCTTTTTACTACTTCACTTAGGATTATTTGTTTTAAAGACAGTGTCAGTGCTATAAAGACATCATGTTTGGAAACACTCGGGAGTCCTCTTGCTGTCTTTGTTAAAACTCAGGAATACCAACTCCATTTTTGTTCTTCATATCTTAAAATAGATGTTGGAGACTAGAGATGGTTTGGAGGATAGCACCAATGGTTAGTAAAGAGATTTTAAGGATTATATGAGGGACAGATTAAAGAAGTCAAAGAAGCACTTGATTTCTGGTATTATAGCAGAATGAAAACCCTGAATAACTCCCCCTGTTGAAATAAGATGCTGAATAAAATATACTGTACTGAGCTGACAGGGAATTTAGAAATTTACAGATCTCCTGGATGTTGAGCACAAATCTCAAGCTTAACACATCCAAAACTGAATTTCTGATCTTTCTCATCAAGGCTGCTACTCCTACAGCCTTCCACATGTCAGAGGATGGCAACTCCAAAAAAAGTCAGGGTCATGCTCAACACTACCAGACCCCACATTCATTTTGTCAGAAAATTCTGTTGGCTTTGCCTTCAAAACATATCCAGAATTCAACACTTCCCACCACTTCCACCACTACCACCTGGTGGGAGCCACCATCATCTCTAGGGCAGATTACTGCAAAAGTCCTGACTGACTTCCCTGCTTTTACCTTGTCCCCTATAACTTATTCTTAGTGCATCAGCAAAAGTGTGCCTTTCAAATCTAAGTCACATCTTAGCACTTCTCTGCTCAAAACCTTCCAAAGGCTCCACTTCTCACTCAGTAAAAGCCAATGCTATTGGGAAAATAGAATAGTTTGGTCAGGGCCCTCGCCTTGGGTCCAGTTGGGTGTGGTTTTAGCACATCCTTTGTAAGCAAATTGTGTGTGTATGTGTGGAGTTAGTGCACATGCACGCCAATGTATCTTTTTAGTTTTGTTGCTGTTCTTGTGTTCTTCAGAAAGAGAGAGAAAGAGAGAGAGAAAGTTTTAGTGAAGCAGGCAGGTGGGCGTCTGCCTCAGGCGTCTGCCTGGCGCAGCCATGCCTTTCCAACCTGCACCTTCCAAGTATCTGTTTGCCAGTTATCTAGCTCATAGACCTGTGTGTGAGGGGTCTGGTGACCCAGCCTGGCATATGAAGGGTTTGTGACCCAGTCTGTGAATGGGCTCGAGGGGTCTGTGAGTTCCAGACCCAGCCCTAGCTTGGCAATTGGCCCAGTCAGTACAGGATTACCAGCAGGTAAAAGAAGTGCTTTTTGAGGCTTTACATGGCCTGCCCCCCAATAACTTCTCTAACCTCATTTCCAGTTCTCTTTTCCTCGATCACTTTGTTCTAGTCACATTGCCTTCCTGGCTGTTTCTTGAACATACCAAGCACATTTCTGTCTTAGAGTTTTGCACTGCCTTTTCTTTCTGCCAGGAATGCTCATGTCCCAAATATGCATATGGATTATTCCCTCACCTATTTCAAGTCTTTATGCAGATATCACCCTTTCAAGGAAGTCTACATGTCCATTGTATTTTAAATTGCAATCCTTTTTTCTCTCCTTAGCTTCAGTCCCCCCCTTTCTCAGTTGTTGTTACCAACTTCTAAAATATTTATTATGTTTATTGTTTATGTGCTCGCTTTCCCCACTGAGTGTGAGCTCTTCTAAGGCAGAAATATTTGTTTTGTTCACTGATATAATGAAGCTCCTTGAACAGTATCTGGCACCTTGTAGGAGCTTGAGATATGTTTGATGAATGAACAAATGAATTCCCAAAGCAAAGTAAAAATATGAAACCTCTAGGAAGTAAGTGAGCTCAAAATTTGACTTTCGCCCTGAAGATCTACTGATCCTTGAAGACTTTGAAGTTCCGCTATGATGGCTGTATGCCATGCAGGGAACGGGAGATCAAACCTAGAACCTGCTGAAGATAGGGAATTTTAATAAGAAACACTCCAAATTGGAATCCATTGTTTTGTACCATATATATGGAAGTTAAAGTGGAATAAACCTTATCATGCAGAAGAGAAAAAAAATAAATCTTGTTTTCCTTCCTTCATGTTTTCCATCTAAATTTACACTACCTTTATGGTATGAAAAACCTTAGGCAGAAAATTTACCATAAAGTTCCAGGAAAATGAGCAACCCACAGTCAAAAATCATAAAATAGGGCCGGCCCGGTGGCGCACTCGGTAGAGTGCAGCGCTTGGGAGTGCGGTGGCGCACCCAGCGAGGGTTCGGATCCCATATAGAGACCAGTCCGCTCACTGGGTTGAGCGTGGTGCGGGCACGACACCGAGGGTTGCGATCCCGTTACCGGTCACGAAAAAAGACAAAAAGGAAAAAAAAAATCATAAAATATACAAGCAAACAAGGCACCAAAATAGAATAAGCACAAAAAATGATCCAGAAACGTTTTATAATAGTTTAATTATACACAAAATATAAAATTTTATTATTCAATATGTTTTAAAGAAAAGAAGTGCTTAAAACTGGAGCAGGGGAAAAGAAACAAAACATCATCAGGTAGATTAAAATATAATTTCTAGAAATGAAAATATACTAATTAAAATTTTTAAAACTCAGTGGATAGCTTAAACAGTATATTAGGAATAGCTGAAGAGCAAATGAACTGCTAAATCTAAGGAAATTATCTAGAATTCAATTCAAAGATAAAAATATGCCGGGGGGTTAGCTAAGACAGGGAAGATAGTATTACAATGGTATAAAAAATTAGTAGCTTATGATTTTCTTGCATTGTTGGAAGACAACAAGAAATCCAACAGGTCCAAAGTATGATAAATAAAAAACTCCCACCCAGATACAGAGACACCACAGTATAAAAAGAAAAGAGAGCTCAAAAGCAATTGTTTTTCAAAAAAAGGAAAAAAGGCAAATCATACATACTCTGAAAAAATCAACAATTAGACTTACGAGTGACTCTTTAACAGCAAAAATAGATTGTACAAGGTAGGGGGATAATGTCTTTACTGTTCTGAGAGAAAGAGAAAGAGAAATTCTAACCAGAATTCATTACCTGCTAGAACTGTCTTTTCTGTTAGACTGATAAAAATAGAGGGTTTAGGACCCAGATTGGAGGAAATGATAAAGGGTATGTTTTAAGCAGAAGGAAAATGATTACAAATAAAAGGCCTGAGATTCAATAGAAGACAGTGAGCAAACATTAATAAATCTTTAAATAAAATTAAGTAACATCAACAACAGAATAAAACAAAATTAATAATGTCAAATTTGTTGGGACACTGACAAACCTGAAACAAAGTACTTTTATAGCTTACAGATCGGAAGAAGGGTGATTATAATTGAAGCATGAAAGTTTGTGTATTTTTCAGTAGAAAGAGAATATATTGATAAACTTTAGGCTATATTTAGTATGCATGTTACTTATAATATATTGGTAGACTTTTAACTATATTAAGTATGCATGTTGCTTATATGTTATAGCTGAGAAAATTGTCTAAAAGAATAGGCCTGACTGTATAACTTCTAAACAAGTAGAAGAAAAAACTCAAAAAGAGAAGAAGAAAACCCTTAGTCCAAAAGAAGGAAAGAAATCAGGGGGAAAACTGTTAAAGTGGGCCAAATGGAAAGCCATATTATAATTATAAAGTTAAAACATTTTAAAAAGAAATAATAATAATTATAGATGGACTACACTTGTCAATTAAAAGAAAAAATGCCAGAATAAAGAAAACTCTGACTGAAAGAGAAAGATATATACAAATACTAATGTAAGGTGTTATAACTATATTAATATCAGACAAAATAAACTTTAAACAAAAGAATTTCAATGAAACGTGTCACTACATAATGATAAAAGACCCAGAAGACTGAACAATTCTAAACTTATATACACCGAATAACGTAGCCTGAAAATATGAAGCAAAAATTGATGGGAACCAAAGATAAATGCCTAATAGAGTAGGGGATTTTTAACATGCTTTTTAAAGTTAGTAATAGAATAAGCAGACAAAAAAGAGGGAGCACAATTAAACTTATTCTGGTACGCATGTATAAGATATTGCATGTAGGTTTTAGAAACTACATGTTCTTTTCAAGCAGAGATAGAAAATTTTTGTTTTGTATATTGACCATGTGCTGGGTCATAAAGTAAGCCTCAAGGATTGATGCTCATGTAAACCACATTCTTTGACCACAATGCAGTTATGACAAAAAAGATAACCAAAAAACATTCCAGCTGTGTAAATTAAGACAAATTAAGACAAAACACACCAAAACATCTAGAAACATGGGTCTAAAGAGAAATTCTAATGGAAATTTGAAAATACTTAGACCCACACAATAACAGAAATACTAACTATAAAGTTGTGAATGCAATTAAAGCAATATTTAAATGAAGATTTATAGTCTAAATTCTTACATTAGGAAAGAAAAAAAAATGGCTCAATATGAGGTAAGCATGCAAGGAGTTAGAAAGTTAAGAGTGTAATAGATCCAAAAAGGGGGAAAGCACAAATCAATGATATAGAAAATAAACAATAATAGGTTCAATGAAATAAAAGTTGATTCTTTGAGGAGACCTACTAAAGATAGATAAGTGTCTGATAAGATTTTTTAAGAAAAAGAAAAAAGAAACATTCCAAGTAAACAATAAAAGAGATGAAAATGAAGATATAACTACTGATGCAATAAAGAATAAATAAATGAAAAGAGGACGTTTTGAACTTTAAACCAACAGTTTGAAACATGCATGAAATGTATATATTATGGAGAAAATATAATTTATCAAAATTAACACCGATTTAAGAAGAAATAAAAAAAAAGCATGAGTAGTGCTTTAACCTCAAAATAAATAGAATCTGTAGTTTAAGATTTTCCCCCAAAGAAATCACCAAGCCTAGATAGCTCTACAGGAGTGTTCTACCTAATGTTCAAAGAATAGATCATTCTATTTATATACAAGCTCTTCTAGAGAATAGAAGCAAGTATCATCACTAAATAGAAAGATTGTCACTACTCTGATGCAAAAAACAGACAAGGGCAGTAGAAGAAAGGAGAATCACAGACCAGTCTCAGTGCCACTTATGAACATAGATACAGAAATCCTAAACAAAAGATTATCAAATCACATCCGTCAATAGAAAGATAATATCGGGTTGGGTAATCCCAGGAAGGCAAGATTGAATAAAACTAAAATACCAGACAATCAATTTTCTGGAAATAACAGATTAGGTAAATTGTGCCAAAATCCAAAGAGACTAGATAAATTGCACCACACCCACACACAGTCACAGATCTTCAAAGCATCAGAGAGCCAGAGAGCTAACAAGGTAGTGAGGAATCACTGGGCCAGTATCTGGAAAGGATTGACCTACTTTTCCCCAGGTGGTGGGGGGAGTTGCTGACCACTGAAGACGCTGCTAGGAGGCTAAGCAGTGCTTTTGATAGTCTTGCGAAGCTAGGGTGACAGAAGGTCAAGTCCAGAGCCCAGCAAATTGTGCATATGTAGGGGAGGGTGTTGGTCAACTTCTCGTGCTTTGGGTTAGGCTGCGTCCTATGACTCAGGCTGAATTGCAAGAGGACTAGGCCACATGTACATTTCAGCCCAGCTTCAAATCATCTCAGGCACTGAAAATGGAATAAAGTTATCTAGTATTGTTAATGTCCCAGGCGCTGGGCAGAAGCAACATAAATCCTCTCTGGGAAAGATATCACCCTCCTAGGAATCAAATGATTTCTGCATTTTTTCAAGTACAGTGAGTGATACACAATAAACCATAATCAGGCAAACAAGGAAAAAAGGCAACATCCATGAGAACCAGTATAAACAACAAAATAGAAATAGGCCCATAAGAAGTTATTACAGAAACATGGAGAAGTTGTAGCTCGCCAATATTCAATATATTGATAAAGTCATTGGGAAATGTGTTAATAAAAAACCTGAAAATAGTGGAAAACTGAATTTAAGAGGGGGAAAGTAATTTTAGTTTATGAGAGAGTATTTGCGTATTAATAATTTAATAGGTATATAAATCTTTTTATACTTTTTTGTACTCTTTTCCTATGATACAGTCTTCCTCGGAAGTGTTTTTCTAAAACTTTTTAAATTGGCAAATGATAACTGTTCATATTTATGGAATACAGTGTGATATTTCAACATATGTTTGTGAAAGCTAAAAAAGTGGATCTCATAGAAGTAGAAAGTAGAATAGTAGTTACTAGAAGCTGGGAAGGGTGGGGGGGGGTTAGGAGAGGTTGGTTAAGGGATTCCTGGAAGTGCTTTAAAATAGCATCAAGAGCCCATCAATGTGGGCTGATTTAAGATTTTATGTGATAGAAATCAGGGAATTAGACCTAATAAATCTCTGGGTGGCTCCTCCAGCTGTAACCCAGGAGAAAAGCTACATAATAACTTAAACGTTTTGGAAAGGATTTCAACCAGTAGGATATACTACAGTGTTCTTTATTCTTTGTGCATTGTATTGCTGAGTCTGCCTCACCAGTAGCTCTACACATGGGGTTGCTTCATGATGAGTGTCAGACAGGGTTTGTGCCCCAGTTCTTGAGTGGAGGAGAAAAGATTGCTGTTTTTAGTTGCACTTTATAAGGGACATGTAAGGCACAGTTCAGTTTTTAAAAAGGAGTGGGTTTTTTTTTTAATAAGACATAAAGACTTTTTTCCCCAAGTTTCAACAAGTCTTCTGACCACTTTTTCCCTTTTTGTAGAATGAGCATGTTAATTATGTAGATGTTGGTGGAGCTTATGTGGGACCGACCCAGAACAAAATCTTACGCTTGTCTAAGGAGCTGGGCATAGAGACTTACAAAGTGAACGTCAGTGAGCGTCTCGTTCAATATGTCAAGGTAAGCCTGTCTTTTTACCCAGATGACCAATGGGGGAGCATTTTATTTGAGAAAACATTTGGTTTGTTTTGGTTATTTTTTTCTCAAAGCAATCATAAAAATAGGCTCTCTACTATAAAGTAGTATTCTGCTGTTCTTTTCTTATTTTTTCCTTTTCTTTTTAAAAATCCCTAAGGACTCCTGGAATCAATGCAGGAGATCATGCCTCAGCTTGGACCTCACAAGCTGTTCCCCTACTTCCCTTCCAAATGGAGTAGGCGTGGGAGGCTCTCAGCTCCCTCCTAATGCATTTGCAGGGTACAGGGGTGAGAGTGGGGGGTGCCTGCAACAGACACACTCACAGACACACACACACACACACACACACACAGAGGCACACACACGCATGCATACCGCTTAAGCCCCGGGCAACCCCTGAGTCACCTAGGAGGCAAGTCTTAAGTTTCCAAGGAACACAATAGTTTGAGGCCACTTTTTTAGCCTTTGAACCAGTTATTTATCCTCATTCTTACTTGGCATTTCTTTGAACACTTTGATCATTTCCTCTGTACGTGGCCTTACTCTTGGGAAGTCTCAGTTGTGCAGTTTCCTACTGTTTACACAAGAGATTCTTTAAACTCTAGCTGCTGATATCCACCCAAGAAACAGCAGCTGTTGCCAGTGTTATTCTTTCTCACTGAAGTCAAACATGGAGTGTAGCGCTGGAGTCCGAAAACATGCCTTGAGAAATCTAGTTTCTGAACTGACATTGCCCTCCACTTCCTGGAACTAGTGTTGCTAGGGCAGGGGTCATTTACTCATTCTTTTTTGTTATTATTGAAACATAATTAATTATACATATTTGTGGGATACCGAAAGGAATGGAAATCATCATGTCGAAAGGACATCTGCACTCCCGTATTCATTGCAGCTCTGTTTATAATAGCCAAGATATGGAACCAACCTAAGTGTCCATCATTTACTCATTCAAATGTCAGGATTCCCATGCCAGGAACCACATCACTTCCCAACAGATACATCCTCACCTACTCTGCCACAGGCGGTCACTGTGGGTCTGAGGGCTGCAGGGCTTGGGGAGTGTCCTGGGAGTTAAGGATACTTGTGATGCATTCACCAAAATGCCCAGTTAGAGGAGATCATGAATCTTTGCAGACTCTGATAGCCACATGGTTTGGGATGCTTGGGAGAGTCTGGCAGTGACACATGTGAAAAAACAAACTAGTAACCCTTAGAAAAACTCTGGGTTCAGAGGTCAAGGGAGGAATGAAGAAAGTATAAAAAAATATACAAAGTGTTCAGTGGAATGTTGGCTTCAGTAAGGAAAACTTTTTTGCTTCCCCCTTTCTCTTTTCTTCACGGCATGGTGTATCCCTAAATTAGTAAGTAATAACAGTAAGAATAATAGCAGTTAACATTTATTGAGCACTTTTACCTATATTCTCATTTTTAATGTAGAGAGAGACCAAACCCTTTGCATTCAACCACTAATTAAACATTCATGTAAATCCACTCTCAACTCCAGCTGGGAAGTAAATGAGTGTGATGATTATCCTGGAATCTGAGCAGATTCATTCTTATAATCTCTTCCTCCCTACAATTCAGGTGCTGAGAGATTTTTATTTTACCTGGAGGCTAGCAATTAACAACAACTAATTGCTTTTTATGCATGAGCCCATTAAATCCTTATAATAACCCTACTAGGCAGGCATGATTATCCCCATTTTACATATCAGAAAACTGAGGTTCAAAGCAGCACAGTGATTTGACAAGGCTACAAAGCTAGTAATAGTCTACTAAACCCTGAGTGCATGCTCTTCATTATCCCAACCTATGCCCAAGGAAATGAAACTGAGGGTCCTGAGCCTCTGTGTGTGCTGGGCCTCCAACGTTGGTTTGGCCAAACACACATCTATTGTAAGGTATCTCACCATCAGTATCCCTGAAGCCTGGCTCATACAATGAGTAAATGAAGTTATTGAAAGGCCACTTTTCTTTCACTTCCCCTTCTAGTTCCACATTCCATTACATACATTTTGAAAACTGGGAAAAACTGGAAATTTGTAGTTATGTCCTCAAACTGAGTACCTACTAGTCTCCCAGCTATGCCCATAATCTCATCTAACAAAAACATAGAAAATAGAAATACTTGTTGTTAAACCATCCTCTCATATACTTTAACCTTCCAGAGAGCACATATTTTCACCCAAGGTTGACAGCAATGTCAAGGCAAAAAAAAGTGGGTTGGTTAAAGTTTATTTTGTTTGAATGAGTGTCTTTTTTCTAGTATTTTCTAACAAATCATATCATTTATGTAATGAGAAGTACTCAGTGTAGTGGATGTCTTAATGATGATCAGGAAATTGTAAAGGGAGGAGGCCATATTAGGGAAAAGCAGGAAGATATTTAGTTCAGTATTCCAGGATGAAGACTCTTAATAAGCTGAATAGTAAAAAAATAATTCCACTTATTTAAAAATATCTCAACTCTCACTTTATCTTCACTTTCGGGGAGGAAAACAATGGACTTTTCCTCTACATGATAGTGTATCAAGTTAATAATGCTAATTGTCTTATCTGGCAGATAGAGGGATCAAACCCTGGACCTTGGTGTTATCTGCACCATATTCTTTTTTTTTTTTTTTTGTCTTTTTGTCTTTTTTTGTGACCGGCAACGGATCATAACCCTCAGTGTCACGCCCGCACCAGACCGGGACCGGCAACGGGATCGCAACCCTCGGCGTTGCCCCCGCCCCTCGCTCAGCCAGTGAGCGGCCGGTCTGTATGTGGGATCCGAACCCTCGGCGGGAGCGCCGCCGCGCTTCCCAAGCGGCGCACTGCAGCAGTGCGCCACCAGGCCGGCCCCCAGTTATCTGCACCATATTCTAATCAACTAAGGTAACTCACTAGCTGTCCTTGTGACACACTCTGCATTGCCTGGCTTTCATAATCTAATACAGTGTGTTCTTTTCTGTAAATAACACTGAAATGAAGTAGGCAAATCGCTGGAAGATTTCCATTGCTTAGATAAACCAAGCCATATTCTTTATGATCCAGATTGCTTCAGTTCTTAAATTTTCCCAATGTGCAACCTTAAAGAATGCCTAAATTGTTTTTTCTATTAGCAGTCTGTAGTGCATTTAGTTTCATCCTACTCTAGGATGGATTTTACCTTTACTTTACCTTTGCTAGACTGTGTTTACAGTGCAACTTTTGACATGACATTAAACAGTTCCAAGCCTGAGCCTCTTAGCACTGTGGATATACTGTTAGTGGTGTTTTCCCACCCTATCCCTTCTCCAAGAGACTATGTCTATCTACTTTATTCATAGATGGTTCACAGTGTTATGCTAAATTCATTCATTGGTTCAATAAATATTTACTGAGCAATCTACTCTGTACCAGCTATTGTTCCAGGCTTCAGATACAGTGGTGAACAAATGATCAGAATTTCTGCTCCCATGGAGCTTCCAATCTAAAGGGAAAAGACAAACAGTAACAATAAATAAGTAATATTAACCAACATTTTGCCTGTATCCTTCATGGATTTTCTGAATAGAATTCCTTTTTAAATTCTGGTTTAGTAGATCCTGATTCTTTTTTTTTTTTTGTCTTTTTCCGTGTCCGGCAACGGATCGCAACCCTCAGTGTCGCCCCCGTACCGGACCGGGACCAGCAACGGGATCGCAACCCTCGGCGTTGCCCCCGCGCCTCGCTCAGCCAGTGAGCGGGAACCGGTCTGTATGTGGGATCCGAACCCTCGGGCGGGAGCGCCGCTGCGCTTCCCAAGCGGCGCACTAGCGCAGTGCGCCACCGGGCCGGCCCAGTAGATCCTGATTCTTATATAATAGGTTCCTGGCTAGTTTCTACAGTGAATAGGTTTTATAAATGTGAATTTGATATGGCTTTATTTTGGAAGATTATATCTTATCTGTGAAATTAATATAAATTAATCGTGTTGTTTTTAACCTAAAAGGTGGAATTTTAAATAGCATCAGCTAGATATGTTTAAAACATTTTTTATTTATCAATTTTTTTCCTTTGGATGATATAAGGAAAGCAGCTGGAACTGAATGCCTAGTGGATTGATTCATTCCCTGCATTAGCAAATAAGATACTCCATCATTAGGTTTGCTTTATGAGTGGGTTTCATTGAGTTGTGGAGACCTTTTGTTAAATTTTGCAGTGCTAAGTCTTGCAGAGAAAGGAAGAAATAGTCGATTTTTTTTGCTTTCCGTGGGTTCCTCCACATCATAATACATAATACGGGTGAGGAATGTGGAGAGGGAGAACCTAGCCAGAAATGGAGCAAGGCATTTTGCAGGAGCTGCTTTGAAGGAGAAATTGACATTTTCAGGCATTCTCTCTTTCTTCCTGCTTTTCACCTCCTCTCTAAATAAAAGAGACTATAAATATATACCACACATTTGTTTTTAGAGAGTGATATGATAAAGATTTATTTAAAACAACATAGGCTTTGCTGATAGTAACAGCTCAGCAAGCAGTTTTTCCTAGTGTTGGTTCTATTCTTCCCATAGCCATTTATTCCGTGTTCTATGCCAACAACCCAAATCAGAGGCTTTTCAGAATGTGTGTGTTCTGGAATACTAAGTAAATTTAGTTGTTGTTGCTAAGAGGTAAACTTGGCTTTAGTCAGTAGACCATGAAGAAAGCAGTGGGTATGTTTTTTGTTAGTTTGTCTTGATGCTTACCAACAGTCTCTGGAGTCGTGAGATGGCACTTCGGAAATAGGGGCTCCTGTGGACGTGGGGGTGGTAGTACCAGGAGCCGTACGTGGTGCAGTTTACGAAGGTGGCTTCTTCTCTTTTCTGTAGATCAAGAGCCCTTCCAGCTTTCAATGAGCACCTGGCTCCTGAACAACCCCCAGGCTGCCCTAGTTAGGCTCAGCAGGCTGAAGACCACAGATGGATTCCATTATTTTGTTAAAATACTAAGTCTAGAGGTCTAGGGCATGGTTTGGAATGGCTGGCTATATATTCTTTT